TTTTTTTTTTTTTTTAACCTAATACATTTATACATTACAGGAACCAATGAAGGTACAGTGTATAAAAATTGTAAACATGGCACATTAGATAAAACAGGTTCTGAACTATGCGCATGATGTGATGACAATCTCTATACAAATAGTCTCACATCTCGCACTGTGGTGCAGTTTATTTACCCCACTCCCACTCCCAAGTGACAAGAATTACAGATGAATATTTCAGCCCATGTTTCTTTTTTTTGGACCGGGGATCAAACTCAAGATTTTGTGTTTGTCAGGCAGTTGGTGGCACCACTGAGCTAAATCCCCGGAAGCCTGTGTTTCTATAGCGGCCTCTTTCCTGGTCTCAAGTCTCTCTGACTTCAATGTAGTTGTTGTCAGAGATTTTTGACTGTGACCTCCAGTAAAGATACATGCACATATTTGCTAACTGAAATAAAAACTTCATGATTCAATACTTATTAGGAGTGATGCACTGATACTTTTTTCTTCCTTCTTTTTTTGATGCTGAGGATTAAGGCCAGGGTCCTATGCATTTAGGCATGCATTATGCCGCTGAGCTATACCCAGCCCATTTCTATTATATTTCATTAAAAAATGCTTATGGCTAATGAATTTGGCCCTCCCACAATTTGGCTGTCTGGAAAGTATATTTTTCTAGCCAGGGACAGTTTTATTTCTCCTTACCTGGGCTTTGTGTTTTAGATACTATAGTCCAAGGTTTCTTAAGAAGCAGCAGCAGCTCACAGAGGCCTCAGGAGGCCTTTTCCACTGCTAAATGTAGGCAAAAAGATACCGTGGAGAGCAGTCCTGGTATGTATTTGCCCTGAGGTAAGATGTGCAGTGGGCTTGTAGAAAGGTCCCCACAGTGACTTAAACCCCACAGACTCAGCTTTAAAAAAATGAAAACTGAAAAAAAAAAAAAAAAAAAGAAAAACTTCCCATCCAACCTCATTTTCCTGCTGAAGCAGTGCAAGGAACCAGTATCTTTCACCCTTTTCCACTGCTAAATGTAGGCAAAAAGATACCGTGGAGAGCAGTCCTGGTATGTATTTGCCCTGAGGTAAGATGTGCTGTGGGCTTGTAGAAAGGTCCCCACAGTGACTTAAACCCCACAGACTCAGCTTTAAAAAAATGAAAACTGAAAAAAAAAAAAAAAGAAAAGAAAACTTCCCATCCAACCTCATTTTCCTGCTGAAGCAGTGCAAGGAACCAGTATCTTTCACATCTTTCGTTGGGCAGGTGATTTATCTGGCACGGTGGTGTTTTAAAACTGATTTCTCTACTTCTTTATCAACTACTTTGCCTCAAATTCTGTGAGAGATAGGCTTGCAGGGGTGCAAGATCTTTCCCAACAGAAATATACATACATACATACATATATATATATATTTTTTTTCCCCCCCTTTTTCTTTTTTCTTTTGTTCTGGGGATTGAACTCTGGACCTTGCACTTTTGAGGCAGGCGGTGAAACCACTGAGCTAAATCCCCAACCCCTCCCAACAGAAATATTAAACAGCAATGTGGAGCAGTAGTTTTTATTTTTCATTTTATTGGTACATTTTAGATACACAAAATGATAACATTCATCTTAAGGAATTTGTACCTGTACATGACACATCTTGATTCTTTTTTCCCCTCCCCCTCCCCTCCCTGTAACCTCTCTTTCCTTCCTTGTTTACAAAAACTTTGTTTCCATTTTCTCCCTTCTATTTTTTTTTTCCTTGTCTCTTCCTTCTTTTCCCTGGAACAGTAGTACTTGAACTGTCACCAGGTGGCAGCACATGATTTGTTGCCTGAGAATGATACTGAAAATGCTTTACAACAGAGAACTGGACAGTGGTGATATCTTTTCTCCTTTCAGAGATTTTGTGAGCTACCAATTAATCTTCCTAAAACAGTGCCCTGTTTAGATTATGCTTCTGTTCAAGAATAGTATTCAGAGCATAAAAAACAAAAAAAGACAAATTTGGCATAAAAGCCCAACCCACATTCAGCCTCCTCTGTCTTTTTTTTAACCACACATCTTTCTTAAACCAGTACTCTGATTATTTAAATCCCACTCATCGTCAAGAGCCTCCTCTTCCAGAAGGAGGGGCACCTAAAGATATCTGAAGGGGGTTTGTAACACTAGGGAATGCTGGTGCATTAAGGCCTATCCTCCACTGTCTTGCTTGCTCTTGCTTGCCTGCGGCAGTCCGCTGAGGCATGAGTTTAGAAGCTCTCGGGAAGGTGTGAGGAAATACGTACACGGTTTTTTGTTTTGTTTTTGGTACCGGGGATCGAACTCAGAACCTTTCGCTTGTGAGGCAGGCCTGGCCTCAAGGCACACCTGAGCTAAATCCCCAGCCCCTTGACTCCCCCCCCCCCTTTTTTTTTTTTTTTTTTTTTTTTTGTTTGTTTTTGGTACCGGGGATGGAACTTGGGTCCTTGCGCTTGCGCAGCAGGCGGCGAAACCACTGAGCTAAATCCCCGGCCCCCTTGTTTTGTTTTTTTAAGACGGGGTCTTGCTTTGCAGTTCAGGCTGACCTTGAGATCAGTTTGTAGCCCAGGCATTCCTTGAATTCGTGGCAATCCTCCTGCCTCAGCCTCCCGAGTGCTGGGATTACAGGCGTTCAAAACCTTGTCTGGCTGTACCTCAATAGTTGGATAGAATTTTTATTTATTTATTTTTTGGTACTGGGGATTGAACTCGGGACCTTGCACTTGCAAGGCAGGCGGTGGAACCGCTGAGTTAAATCCCCGGCCCTAGAATTCTTATTTCTCACACAGTTCTTTCAAAAACCTACTTTCAGGCGAGTTGAAGTGTTACCTCTTTTTTTTGTTTGTTTTTTGAGGCAGGTTTTCACTTTGTAGTTCAGGCTGGCCTTGAACTTACTATGTAGTCCAGGCTGGCCTCGAACTCGCAGCGATCCTCCTGCCTCAGCCTCCGGAGTGCTGGGATCATGGGTGTGCACTACCATGCCCTCTGGAAGTGTTACCTCTCTGACGCCTTCACCGTGTCTAATCTTTTAGTCTACAATAATCTTTCCCCCATCGTTCTGTTTGCTCCACGGGGATGCTGGACACTGCATTCATACGGATTTCCTTTTTCTTTCTTTTTTTTTTGGAACCGGGGCTCGAACTCGGGTCCTTGGGCTTTTGAGGCAGGCGGCGGAAGCACTGAGCTAAATCCCCGGGCCTCCTTTTTCGTTCTTTTATTTTTATTTATTTTTAGGGCAAAGTCTCGCTGTGTAGTTCAGGCTGCCCTCGAACTCTCAGTGTTGGGATTACAGGCATGTGCCACCACGCCAGATGGCTTTTCCTTTCTCAGCTTACACTTTAACCAACCCAAAAGCCGGGCAAGTCTATTCCATTTTTTTTTTTCTACTCCATTTTTAATTGGCTTTATCAATGACCAATCGTTCTGTCTTTGACATTTTGGTTTGTCCATCCTGGGTTGCTGTTTCGCCTTCTGAGAAAGTCCTGGTATTGAGTTTTCCCCAGGAGTAGTCTCTGCTCTTGAGTTCTTCCTTTCCGACACACTGCCTCTTCTGTTTTTACCACCACTTCCTTCCTATTGGTTTTCTTCGTCCTCAAAGAGTTGGCGCCCAGGGCTGTTGATTGGCTTCTCTATACGCCCGTTGTGCCCACCCTCATACCACGTGGCATTCTTAACGCTAATTGGGCAATTCCACTAGTTCGTTTACCAAAGATTAACGACTGACTGGCTGGTCTGAGGGAGGGCCCGAGAGGGGCGGGGCCACAAAAGGGGCGTGACCACTGGCCACGCCCCAGCTCGCCTGCCCCAGGGTTTCAGCTGCTCGCGGCCGGGGAGCCCTAGAGGAGCGTTCACCTGCCCTTTCGGTCTAGCCGGTTAGATCGTCCTCCTGGCCCCGCCAAGAGGCGCGGGGTGGGGGGGAGGGAACGGCCCCGACTGGCGGGAATGGCAGTGGTCTCCTCGTCCTCTGCCGCCGCCACCCCCGCCGACTCGCCGGCGTGCGCGCGAGGGACCCCCACCGCCTCCGCAGGCTGAGAAACCGCTGCCGCCTCGGAGCCGAGCGGGCTACTATGCTCGCCCTGGGCCGTCGCCTCCCGCTCCCGCCCCAGCCAGCTCAGGCTCCGCTCCGGCCGCTCGGTGCCGCCTCAGGTAACCGCGGGAGGCGCGAACTCGGGGGTCGCGGCTGCGGCACCTCCTGGGTCCGGCCTTGGCGCTCGGGTCCGTACGCGGTGGTTCCGCGGAGTCCTCCGCTTCGCGCAGGGGACACTCCCCCGGCTCGACCTTTCCCCTTCTGCTTCCCTCAGGGGCCGGGAGCGGTCAGAAGTCACCTAGAGTCGGGGAGGTAGTGTTTGAGCCCCCTTGGCGACCTTCCTTACTTCAGGAGCCTTCGTTTCCCGGGAAGGCGCGTGCGGAGACCTCCACCTCCCCACGAGCGCCTTCCCGGCTGAGCAGCCAGCCTCCCTTGGGGTCCAGACTTCGAACTTCCCTCCAGAGCTC